GTGTCCTCAAGTCCATTCTCTAAGTCTGTGTCTTTATTCCTGTCCTGCCCCCAAGGTTCTTCAGAACCACTTTTTTTTTTTAGATTCCATATATATGTGTTAACATACGGTATTTGTTTTTCTCTTTCTGACTTACTTCACTCTGTATGACAGACTCTAGGTCCATCCACCTCATTACAAATAACTCAATTTTGTTTCTTTGTATAGCTGTGTAACGTTCCATTGTATGTATGTGCCACATCTACTTGATCCATTCATCTGTCGATGGACACTTCCATCACCCATCTTTAACAGTGATCTCCCCACAGGGTCAATTTTGTTTGATCCATATCCTGACTTATCCCTGCCCCAGGGTTATTTTAAAGCAAATGCCAGACACTGTATTATTTCATCTGTAAATACTGGGGAATACTGTCTTTCCACGTGCCTTTTTTGTTGTAATCACAGTAATCCACTTGGCTTGGCAATAGATAATATTTACATCCTTATTAATGGAAACAGTGGACGTGGATTCAACCAACTTTGATTTAACTGTGTTGGGAGAGGAAAGGGCAGGGCAGAGGAATGCTAAAATTCCCATCTACCATGAAGAGTTGCCAATCTGCAAAGTCTAAAATTGGTGAATCAAGGGTTTCCCCGATGGCGCAGTGGTTAAGAATCCGCCTGCCGGTGCAGGGAACATGGATTCGAGCCCTGGCCCGGGAAGATCCCACATGCCGTGGAGCAACTAAGCCCATGTGCGCCACAACTACTGAGCCCGAGAGCCACAACTACTGAAGCCCACGCACCTAGAGCCCGGGCTCCTCAACAAGAGAAGCCACCACAACCAGAGAAAGCCCGCACGCAGCAACAGAGACCCAACGCTGCCAAAAATAAAAACAAATAAATTTATTTAAAAATATAAATAAATAAATAAAATTGGTGAATCAAGGGGCCACATTAAGCACAAATTACTTAGGAGTAAGGAAGCAACTAGAGGAAACAGTTAACCCAGCTGCACATGGACCACAGAAGGGGAAGTCAGAGAGTGGGGCCGCTGGGGTCTCACTTAAGTGATATACACGTTACTACTTTGATTAAAATAAAACATTAAAAAGAAAATAAGGTGGGGACTTCCCTGGTGGTTCAGTGGTTAAGACTCCACACTCCCAATGCAGGGGCCCCGGGTTCAATCCCTGGTCCGGGAACTAGATCACATGCATGCCACAACTGAGTCTGCATGCCACAGCTAAGGAGCCTGCCTACTGCAACTAAGGAGCCTGCCTGCCACAACTAAGACCCGATGCAACCAAATACATAAATATTAAATTAAAAAAATTAAGATGTTGGAGAATTGATGACTAAAATCTCTTCGGCCCTATAGGTAGTGTAATACTACAATTCCTCAGTTACGTTTTCTTTTTTTTATATATAAATTTAGTTATTTCATTTATTTTATTTTTGGCTGCATTGGGTCTTTGTTGCTGTGCATGGCTTTCTCTAGTCGCGGCAAGCGGGGGCTTCTCTTTGTTGCGGAGCACAGGCTCTAGGCGCGCAGGCTTCAGTAGTTGTGGCGTGCAAGCTCAGTGCTTGTGGTGCACGGGCGTAGCTGCTCCGCGGCACGTGGGACCTTCCCGGACCAGGGCTCAAACCCGTGTCCCCTGCATTGGCAGGCGGATTCTTAACCACTGTGCCACCAGGTAAGTCCCCAAATCACTTTTTAATAGAGCAGAGCCCGTCTGTCTACCTTTGCAGCTAGGGACACTCGACACACTCCAGTTGGAAGAATACCTCTCCTACCAGTCAAACCTGTTTGCACGCCACGGGTCATTTTGATTATTTAAAAATATTTTCCATGTTCTACCTGGCCAGTCTCTGCCAGCACCTGCCAGGTCACCGTGAGCCGTCTGACGGTCCTTCCCCCCACGTCCCAGCCCAGCCCCCTGCTCTCTGCTCACAGCACCCTTCGAGGGTCCAGTCCCCACTAGAGGGCAGTCCCTGGGCAGGGCCAGTTCTAGCCATCCTGGTATCTCCAGGGCAGCAGGGTCTTCTCCAGAGTGCCTGATGGTGGTGGTCCCACAAAGATACGTCTGTGCACATCTCTGGAACTGGTGAATGTGACTTTATTTGGCAAAGTGATCTTTGTAGATGTAATTAAGGATCTTGAGATGAGATCGCCTTGGATTACCTGGGTGGGCCAGTGAGAGGTGTTCTTATAAAGAGACAGAAGATGAGACACTCAGATGAGAGGCCACGTGAAGACAGAGCAGACTGGAGGGATGTGGCCACGGCCACGGAAGCCAGCAACCACCGAACACTGGGAGAGAGAATGGACCCTCCCCTCGAGCCTCCGCAAGGACCTGGCCCGCCTCCTCTCCCACTGCACCTGCGCGCCGGGCGCAGGACTGCACACAGTGCCGGTCTGCACAGCAGTACCTGAAAAGGTGCCCCGCTGAGTCCAGGACATGAAACAGCAAAGGCACCGGCTACCCATTCTCACCAAGGGATTAAGCCAAGGAAATGTAAGAAACAAAAGGATCTGCGACATTTAGAAATGTATTGAGGACTTCCTTGGTGGCACAGCGGTTAAGAACCTGCCTGCCAGTGCAGGGGACACGGGTTCGAGCCCTGGTCTGGGAAGATCCCACATGCCGCGGAGCAACTAAGCCCGTGGGCCACAACTACTGAGCCTGCGCTACAGAGCCTGTGAGCCACAACTACTGAGCCCTCGTGCCACAACTACGGAAGCCCACGCGCCTACAGCCCGTGCTCCGCAACAAGAGAAGCCACCACAATGAGAAGCCCGCGCACCGCAACGAAGAGTAGCCCCCACTCACCACAACTAGAGAAAGCCCGCACGCAGCAACGAAGATCCAATGCAGCCAAAAATAAAAGTAAACAAATTTATAGAAATGTACTGAATGACACGTGGGTAGTTACAGCAGCAGCTGTGGTAGCACTTGGATATGCACCTACTCATCTATCTGGCAAGAACACAGGAAAGACGGACTCTTCCGGATACCCCGGAAACCCGTCTTGGGTGAGGAGAGGACTTAGCTCGTGAAAGGCAAAGAACAAAAACTAAAACCACAGTGACCTCAAAAATGCGTGACGTGAAACTTAGAGAGATCCTTAAGGGTAGGACATGTAGACTAACAAAGAGTTTTTAATGGTGGGAAGAGTCAAGATCCTCTTTAACGTGACCACACCTGGACTGCAGACTGATTTCCCTCCCATCCCCGTGATGGGCAAAGCCCTGGGCACTGGCTGTGAAGGGAGCAGACCTGAGAAGCATGGCTAACGAGCGTTCTAAGAGAAGCAAAACTACAGAAACATCTCCTTACTGCTTTCTTTGGGTATTTCTCCATCGACACTTGTTTTTAAAGGCCTAAGTGGAATCAGTGAAACAAGTTGTCATAGAACACCTGCAGCTTATGAATCATGCATGACTCTGTTTCCAGAATCTTTCAGATACTCAAGGCTCGCTTGGCTTTGTTCAGGCAAAAATGGAGTGTGAGATGAGAAAGGCGCTCTGCGGTTTTAAATCTCATGCTTAAGTTAACCCTGAGAACTAGGAAATGCAAAAAATAAGGCCGCTCCTAAGTTAAACTGGAAGACGAGCAAAGCACAGGTTCTAAAGAGAGAAACACACAACGACCTGACGGCTATGCCCACAGAAACAAGCCGGAATGCATTCATCCACATAAACAACACATGTGCCATTCAGAAAGGGAGCCCGTCAGCCCTGGAGGGACAGTCGGGACAGGAGTGAAACCGAGGCCATGGTCAGCAGTGCCCACCCAACAGGGCCCAAGTAGGGTGGTGGCAGTCGCCAGGCTTGCTGCGTCCCCAGACCTGATGGCAGTAACACCTTGGTGGTGGTGAGGGCGGGAAACGTCACCTAGTGAGCTAAGGCGTCCGTGCTCTCGTCCTAGTGCCGCCTGCAGTGGCCCTTTGTGAGCAGCCACCTGCACCCACCCTGCCACCCACTGGTGCCCGGCTGTCCCCTTGGGGATGCACTTTCAGCCCTCCAGCTTGGGTGTTCCCACCCCCCTGCCACACTGAACCTGGATGTGACTCAGGACTTGGCTTGAGCTATCACAGAGGCCATGAATCTAGAAGGGCACAGCCCTGGGACCCTTGTGTGGCCACGTGGGAAGAGCAGGACACCAAGCCTGCACAGAGGAGGCGGAACTGAGGAACGCGCGCGCGCACACCGCCACCAGCACGAGTGCCTCTGCTTCGCCACTTGCTCCAGCTCTCTGGCCTCACCTCAGCTTGGAACAGATCCCAGCTGCAGCTGCCCCACCGGTGGCTCCTAAAAACGCACCTCCTGCAAGAGCTGCTGTTCCGGCTGCCCTGACTGTGCCCAGGGCTGCGGCGGCACAGGGGCATCGGACAAGTGTGGCTGCCGTGCCTGATGCGGGGGGAGCCTGATGCTGGGGGGAGAGCCTGCTCCCAGATGTACCCAGAGCTGTGATTACGATTCTGCATTAAAAAATCTTTTTTCATACTTCCCTAACTCCCTTGCTACATTCTTGTTTCTATGGAATATGTGAATAAAATTTGCTGACTAAAAAAAAAAAAATTAAAAAGCACCCACACCCATACACATGCACGCGAGCACACGCACACCCCCGGGTCTCCTCCTTCGGGTCCAGGTCTGGGTTGCCCTCGACCGCCCCATCCCCGGACTCCATAGGTGAGCCTACGCAGCTCCACGCCGTTTCCGACAATCGGCCCGGTGCCTGCGGCAGCAGGGGCTTCCAGGGCCCGGCTCCCCGTAGGTACTGATGAGCGGGCGCCTCTGGCCTCCAGAACCGAGGGCACGAACACCTGGTCACCCTCTGGAGGACACCTGACCCTACACTCCCATCGTCCAGCCTTTTTAGTCTGTCCATCCATTCCTATAACAGAATTTCCATATGACGACACTGGCTCCAATCAGTCGGCCTGGAGCGGGAGATACAACAGCTGCGGTCAGTTCTCAGCAGGAGCACAGCTTACCCTCGTACTCTGTATTGGCAGTGGAAAATTCTGCTTCAGTATTTTATTGAAAGAAAGCAATAAATAATACTGTGATAAAAATAGTTCAAAAGTAGACTGTACATACTTTGTTACATAATCAGGAAGTTCACAAAAGATGAATAGAAAAACAGAACGGTAACAGCGAACTGTACAAGTAAATTAAAGGCAGAGCCCGAATGCAAAAAGACACGCCATCTCTGTCTACCGGTACATCAGCTGTGTAATAAATAATGCACCATGATCTGAACACATCTCTTGCTGGCCTTTTAATATGCCATTTAAAAAGTAAAAGTTACATTTGCTACTTATACAATCCAAAATGGCTATATCGTCAAAATCTAAAAATGTACGACTAGGTCCATTCTTTAAACATGTTTACAGACAAATGTAAAAGGATGATTTACATCAGAAAAATAAGGCCTTGATTAGAGCCGCACTACGTTATTCTCAGCATCTCAGTGCCTCCACCTCCCGCGTGCGCCAGTGTCTCCTCCGGGAGTGCAGCGCTTCGTGATTGGTCCTCTAAGAGTCGGCGCCCTTGACCCGGCTTCCCAGGAGGGGGGCGGGGAAGGGGGCCCAGGCCCCACCCCCCCACCGGAGTCGCTCTTCCCCCAGCTCGCGGCTTCTGCCAGCCGCCCGAGACGAGGTGTCCGGATCCACAGAGGCCCGGCTGCGGGAGAGCTCCCCGCCGGTCCGAAGGGGTTTTCAGAGCGTTCTGACCCCTTCAGTCCAAATCTGATTAGAAGCTGCTGTTTAACACCCCGTATTTTTAATCTCTTCACGCTACAGAGTAAAGCATTTCTTGCTAGAAAAAGGACAGCTAAGGTCAGTCATTAAAATACAACAATTGCTTGAAGGTAAGTTGGCTTCTTTCAAAATGACTGTTGTAGGGCCAGGTTACATTTTGTAAGGGATACTGCACACTGTGTCATGATGATTTTACAAACGCAGTAAAATCCTTTTCTCTGTCATGGTTTATCATTAAAAAATTAAACAAGAATAATTACAATAAAGGCATCATTTACAAAAGCCCTATATTTGTTCATAGGATTTATACATACAAGCATTACAGTACATTCCTTTGAAAGACTAAAATCAGATATAAGAACATGAATTGATCTGAAAGGATATTTATAGCCTGGATATACATGAAAAAGTAAGTAACTATATAAATGAAGTCATAAGTTTACATAAATATAAGAAACATTAAATTCTAAAATATTTTCTCTATGGTATTCATGAATTTTTCACTAATTAAAAACTCTGTAATAAAATATCTTAGGGTCCATATAACAAGTATTAACAGATTAAAGATTCCATTGAGCTCAAAATGTAGTCTTCGCTGGATTCAAAATGCTGCGTAATCACCTGTAGAAGTAGTGTGGGTAAACTGGAAAATAAAACAAAAGCAAGCGAGTCAGTCTCGAGACAGCCTCAAGTGCCCGAGCTCCTACCCCTCCACGACCCCCCCGCCCCCCCGCAAGCCCTACGTTCTGTGCTTTGGCTGCTTTTAGAATGTAGGTAAGAATCAAGGACCAAGCGGATCACGGAGAGAATTCCTTGACTGACTTTCTTTTGACACACATCTAAAAGCTGCTAATAAGAAAACCAATCATGCATTCCAGCTGAGACGTGACAACAGAACCCTGAGAGCAGCGAGGGGAGGGCTGGGCTCCCGGGCCCACACCCACCCAGAGCACCACCTGCAAAGCAAGGGTGTTCCCTCAGCAGCGGCCGACCCCGAGATGCCAGCGCAGTTTCGTTTTAAAGACGGGCCTCTGGACTGAGAGGCACACGGCGGTGCGGCCTCGTGAACCCTGATGCTTTGGGGCTTGTTCCCTTCGAGAACGCGCACGCAAGACACGGTGCTGCAGCACCGCTGACGCGGGAGCGACACCAGCACGCAGGGCAACTCGAGGGAGACCCGGGCCGTGCGCTGACCACTCCCGGCGGCAGCCAAGCGCCAAGGTCACCTTCCGCTCTCCTGCCGCCCCATCCCCCCCGGACGCTCCGGCGCCAGGGCGTGGCCTCCCCGCACCTGCGGGCCGGGGCCAGGGCCGCCCTGTACTCACCGGCGTCGGCTCAGCAGGAGTAAGTCCTGACTGCAGCGGAGTCCAGCCTCTGCGCTCCCGCCACGCTGCCTGGTCCGACAAGCACGGGAGGGAGGAAGCGTGCAAACACAGCGTGCGGTTAGTGGTGGGACGCCACACGGGGGCACAAGGACGGACACGCACTCACGTCCAGAGCGGCCACCTCCTGAGGGCTCTGGGGGAAACCACCAGAGGGGGAGGGGCGGACGAGCCGGAGAAAGGGAGCCTAAGAGCCACCGCGTGAGGGTTCCCTCCACCTCCGCCACCCTGGGGGGCACGGGGAGGTCACACTACAGCAGCAGCCGCAGTCAGATGACAGAGAAACGCCTGCACGGCGGGTGACGACTACTCAGCGTGACCACGTGGTCCCTCCTTAAACCCTCTAGATTCAGAGAGCGCCAGGACTTCTCTTTCGCTGTATCCGCGAGGACGGTAGTCGGGCAACAGTGGCAGCGGGCCACGTGACGGGCCCCGCCAAGGGGACTGAAGCCCGGCACCGATGGCCTGGAGGCCCCGCGCTCTGTTGCCCCAGGGGGACCCGCCTGCCCTCTCTCCCCTGGGAGCCTTCCCCAGCGGCTTCGACAGTGGGCAGAGGGCAGAGGACGGGGATGTAGCTAACAAAGCAGAAGCCCAGCGTCAGTTTCCACCCGCAAGGATGTCACCACTGACGTTTTTTTTCTTGTCAAGAAACAGGCTGTGGGGCCCAATAGGTAAGCCCTCACCCCGCTTTAAACTGAGTAAGAAATTTCCATAACCCCTAGCAGAAATCCGCTGCTCCCAATTCAACATTTTTCGTTTCCCCACAGGTCCACCAGGAACACATGTGACCAACATTTGGCCGCGGTTCCAGAAAGGGCTTAAGACAGCTGGCGCTGCTGATCGGAGCAGATCTTTTTGTTTGTTTGTTTTTAAAGCCATTGATTTGGACATTTTATTTTACTTTATTTATTTATATTTGGCCACACCATGTGGCACACAGGATCTTAGTTCCCGACCAGGGATCGAACCCGCGCCCCCTGCACTGGAAGCGTGGCGCCTTAACCACTGGGCCACCGGGGAAGTCCCGCACAGCATCCTTCTAAATCCTTCTGATCCTAAGAACCCCAGGGACCTGCTGCACTTTTTGCCTTCAAAAGCCATGAAAACAACCCATTTTAATAGTTTATGCCTTCCTTATCACACAAGGGTAAAAAGTCATCTCCCGTATAATATATTGCCTACACCTCTTTCTAGGAGTATTTTTAATTTATCAAAACTCTAATGTTAACATCACTGTGAGCATTTAACAGCGAAATGCGATTTATAACGAGAAGAATGGAAATGAAGCAGTGAGGAAAATAAGAAAGCACTCATTTAGACTATCCAATAAATTGAAGGCCAAGCTACGGTTAAAATCTGTAAAAATGGGGCTTCCCTGGTGGCGCAGTGGTTGAGGGTCCACCTGCCGATGCAGGGGACACGGGTTCGTGCCCCGGTCCGGGAAGATCCCACATGCCGCGGAGCGCCTGGGCCCGTGAGCCATGCCCGCTGAGCCTGCGCGTCCGGAGCCTGTGCTCCGCAACGGGAGAGGCCGCAGCGGTGAGAGGCCCGCGTACCGCAAAAAAACAAACAAAAAAAACAAATCTGTAAGCCGCCCTCACTAAAGTGTCCAGCTTATTTAGCAAAGGCTTCCCTACATGTACTTTGCTCTGATTTTCATACAGGCAAGTGACAGTAAAACTTACAAACCTACGCATGGGAAGGGCTGATAACAGGAGAAAACTGCAAACCCCGTCAGCACACTTCGAAAACCCCTTGCTCTCCTGCAGCCCGGCCACGGCAGGGGAGGACGTGGGGACGGCCTGAGTAACAGCAGCGCCGCAGCAGCCCTAAGGGCTCCGCCCTCACAGGACTGAGGACGCGCCAGGCGCTCTCCTGAGCCGTGACCCGCTCTGTGAATCACTTGTGTAACCGGCACGGCCAGCCGGGGAGGAGGGTGCCCCAAGACGACCCTTTCCCAGATGCGAAACTGAGGCGCGGTGCTCAAGGCGCCTCCTAGGCCGCAGGGCCAGACTCAGACCCAGGCCGTCCGTCTCTCGATTTTGCTGCCGAGTGGGGACACAGCAGCGCTGAGAGCCCATCCTTAACTAGCGGTGCTCTCTGGCAGAGCGGTTGTCAAAGGGAAGAGCAGAGCTGGGTGTGAAATGACTACGGGCCCAGCCATGCTCGGGTGATGACTTCTCTCGGCCTCACCTTCTTCCCTCTGCCCGGCCTTCTACAGCGTGCAAGGGACAAATAACAGTGAGGACGGAGGGAGGACAGGAAGGTGGAGGTTATTTCAAATGGACTCAGTCATCCTTCTAGCGTGAAGAGAAGTCGAGGGGGAACTGGTGGGGTCTGAAAGCTACTATGTGCTATTTTATGAAACAGCTTCTGAGCGCTGCCTGCCACACACACATCTTTACGAGCATGGGTGTCGATCTAACGCTCTGAGAACACGCACGATTCTTAGTTTTATTAGTTAGAAGAGTATGCTAACATTCAACCAGACAAGAACTTAAGAATTAAGACTGTATTACTGTTAAACTTTTATAAACAGATGTTAGGATTAATTTTAAACACTTACACCTGGGCATGCAACAGTACTCAAGTGCCTTGTCACATATTAAGTAGGCCATTCTAGATCATTATTAACGTTCCAGTCCCAGAGCTGCTCAAGCCGCCTACCAACGGCTGGGGCAGCACTGCATCACCTACCGTCCAGCTGCATCTTCTTTGGCTGCACAGAGGGCGAGGACAGAGAGGACGGGACCCGGAAGTTTGCGGGGAGAGTCTCTGCTGACCCAGCAGCTAAGCCACGAACATCCTTTGGTCTAAATTTTTTTCTCCAAGAAGGTGCTCTCCTAAAGCTTTTATCATCATCCTGGTGAATTAAAGGACAGAAAACAAGACAGATTTAAAAATAAAGGACAAAAACATAAAGTTACCAGCCCTTTAAAATGACCGAGCTTGTTACCGCATCTTTATTTCACCCCGTTCGTGACAACCATATGATTAGCTGGGAACTGTGGAGCGTGGCCGGGGCCCGGTACCACTGACGCTGGGACCCTAACTGAGCATCAACCAGGGCTGCCTGGGCCGCCCGGCTGTACGTTCCTCCTGACAATTACCAGGCTTCACCTCTTATCTTGAAGGAATCACCTTCTTGCTATATAATATAACATGTTTTTGTTTGTCTTTAAAAACAGTTTTCGAGCTGTAAACAATTCTGTCTCATGCTGGGACAGAGCCAGCAAATGCTGCTTTAGGTGCCCTTCTACTCTTTGTCAGACTCAAGTTTCCTTAACGTCCAATGAAGAGAATAACGATAAGTGTGGGAATAAATGAGTCATGGTTTTGTGTAAGGGGAAATTAATATTTTGTGCTTTCCAGTATACTTATGAAACAGTCCCCCAAAGCACAGGGGCTCTGGATTAGGGTAAGACATCCGGCTGGTCCCCAAAACACAACTTAGACTCCATTCCTAAGCTGAAACCAGTGTTTCACGATATAAAAAAAATACCTTTGAGGGGTATCAAAAGTTAAATAGCGAAAATCAAAAAAAATACAAACCCCTATCTTACTGAAGCCATTCATTTTTTAAAAATTAATTTTATTTATTTATTTTTGGCTATGCTGGGTCTTTGTTGCTGCCCACGGGCTTTCCCTAGTTGCGGTGCGCAGGGGCTACTCTTCGTTGTGGTGCGCGGGCTTCTCACCGAGGGGGCTTCTTTTGTCGTGGAGCACGGGTTCTAGGCGCACGGGCTTCGGTAGTTGTGGCTCGCGGGCTCTAGAGCGCAGGCTCAATAGTTGTGGCGCACGGGCTTAGCTGCTCCGCGGCATGTGGGACCTTCCCGGACCAGGGCTCGAACCCGTGTCCCCTGCATTGGCAGGCGGATTCTTAACCACTGTGCCACCAGGGAAGTCCAAAGAAATTTTTTAATAGCTCATTTGTTAATAAATTTTTAAGAGCAAAGCTTAACTTGTAAAGTAAAATTGTCTCCACATTTAGAAGAAATACCCTGACTACACGGTTCATACAAGGATGATAATGACTTTTAAAGTTGCATTAATGTAAATTAAGCTGAAAACTTACTTCATCGAACCTTCTGTCGGTCCCCATGACCAAAAGGTTGTTAAACTCTCTTTCCAAGACAGCACGAGCCTGAAATCATAAAACAACACCACCCTACAGCTTTCAACAATCTCATCTGAATATCAGCATATCTGGACTGCTTTTTAAACCAAGACTTTAAAAACGAAACAAAGAAACTCAAACTCTGACAGTATTTTAAATCAGGGGTTTAACATGGAGTCCATGGATGGCCTTTTGGGGAGAGGGATCCATGACCTCTTGGAAATTATATACAAAAGTGTGCTCTGTGGGTCGGTGCTGGTGGGAAGATCGGGGCTCTGGCAAAAGATATACAATCTTCTGCAGAAGAATAAGAAAATTCCCTCCTTCTCAAAGGAGCCCACAGTCACCAAGAACTGCAACCACGCGTAGAAACAAAACTAATAAAACCTTCATCTGACACACAAAGAGTATTTCTCTTTCCACGGAAGAACTAAATCTCGATACACGTCACTCTTACCAGAGTACTGACTTGAATGAAAGTTCCCCTTATTGTGTTTACCGTAAGGCTCTCATGCTTCCAACGGGAAATGAAAAGTCAATAGGCAAAAATACTGAGGAAGGAAGCATTACAGATTTTGAACTATTATGTGACGGATTTGGTATGGAATGAGATTACTAGTGGCCTGAGATGTTGTTAAGTTTGGTCTCCATTCAGATAGGCAGCTACATGTCTGTGTGGGGAGAACGGACCACACACTGTGCCCCAGTGAAGGCCTGGCGTCTGGGCTGTACCTGTGTGTTCTGCGTGGGGATCTGTAACAAGAGGGCCAGCGCGTTGAAGTCGAAGGTTTCGTCTAAGGCCAGAAGGGCGCCGTGCACACCGCTCTCTACGAGATTGTTTGCGTATTCCTTGAGACCAATGGAGAGGATCCAGCGAATCACTCGATCATTGCTCCAAACAAGCACATCTGCAGATGAATAAAAACACTTTTAAAAGTGGCCTCAGAAAGCTGTGTTCATCACGTATACCCTGCAGGCACGGCGGAAAGATCCCTACCGCGAAACTGACCCTTCAGTTCCTGACAAAAGCTGGGAGACACCGTTAGGCGGGCAGCCAACCCCTACTGCACTGAGACGCTGATGGCTTGGCCCTTCTCCACTCCAATGGAGACTGTCCCATAAGAGCTCATTCTTCAAGTGAACCCAAGAGGAATGAAGTTATTACGTACACTTAGTTTCTGGAGAACAGAAAACGAGGATCCGGGGATCAGAAATAAAAGGACACACAAGGATGTGAATGCCCACCAGGTACGAACACGTTTCAGATACAGACTTGAGAGTCTTTTGATATACTTTCTTCCCGTCCCAAGAAGGAGCTGGCACCGTATCTGGACACCTTGCTCAATTCAGCATCAACCTCTCACTTATAATTGTGAAGCCTCTTTTCTTGAAGCCATTTTTGTTGTCTCTCTTTTGTTAAAAAGAGAGAAACTTAAAGATATTCTCCAGCATATTAGAGATTTGGGGGGAAGATTTCACATTCAGCCAAGTCATAAATGATTAAGTCTGCGCCGGTAGAGAGCTACACATAGCCACAGATGATCACCGATTACCTTCAAAGGCAGCTCCCGTCACCCGTAAGAAGATTTAAACCATACAGAAAACAAATGAAACAGATTCACAGATTTCATTTCCAACGCCCTTTTCTGGATAAAGGTATGGAATATATAGATGTTGGCTTCTGGCTTTTCTCATGATTCACATCAACTCAGTCACGACTCAACCATCCTTCACATGGGCCGCGTCTCCCCAACCACGTTTTACCTTTAGTTTCCTTCTTAGTGAAAGCTGGGGACGAAAGCAGCACTTAACACTCACAGTGCTGTGGTAAGGATTAAATAAAGTAACCTTTGAAAGTGCCTGGACTTGTTCCCTAAGTCTTACTATTATTATTACTATTAATATTATTAGATTTATTTTCTGAAAATTCTGGGAGGTTTTACACTGAGCTTAATCACCAACACCTTGTGTAAAAGCACTCTATCATACCTGATCATTGAGAGGCGCACAGAGTGACAAGCTCCCCCTCGGAGGCAAGCATCTGACACCTCCCAGTGGGACAGCCCCCGCCCTCCCAGGCCTCCGCACCCGCCTTCTGACTGAAGCGCCTCTGCCCTCCTCCCTGGTTAAGTAGCTGCTCCCACGGCACCTTCAAGGCCCGCTCGCCCCGCCCGGGAGGAGAGCCACGCGCTGCTCTCCCCTGCACTCCTCAAGTCCTTTGACAGACGGCCAGAGCAGCGTCTTTCACACTTAAATCAAACGAGTGAACGGCAGGTCTCGTTCTTTTCGGCTCTGGAATTATCTACAGCGTGTAGCAGCATTTCTGAGTGAAACAGGACACGTGTCATAGTAACAGGAAATCTCTAGAGTCATGGGAAAAATGTTTACCTTGAGACACTTAACCTATAGACTGAGCACAAGGACACAGGCACAAGTGCTCTGGCCACAGAGGAGGATCTTAAAAACACTCCCTCCTCTGTAATGATGCCAGACACGTTTTCTCCACTTAAAGCATTTCCTGATTTTTTTTCTTTAAAACAGGAAATCACTGAGGCTGCTGGTACACTGGGAATGAAGAAACACGACTGTACTAGCCTTTTAGTTCATTCTGGCTTTCTTCTCTTTTTCTTTCCAGTTCTTTCCGGTCATAATTTAACCTTCGCAGGCACATAATTCCACACTGGAAACTGTTTCTATTTCCAAGAGAAAAAGAAAAAAAAAAGAAAAAATTTAGACCGGGCAACAGTCAAACGTCTCTCAGCCAATTAGCAAGAACTACTTACGGCGACTAACCTGTGGAAACTATCAACCATTTTCAGTTGCCCGCGAAGGTCTTTCTTGGTCAAGTGGTCGAGCATCCGTGCGTCCACGAGGCACTCCATGAAGTAGCTCCGGTACTGCGGGAGGCCCAGGCTGGGCAGCCACTCGTTGCCGATCCACTCGTGGTTCATGTCCCCGTATGCCAGCGTCTGCTTTCAATAATCAAGGACGATCAGTTCAGGAAAAAACCCATGAAAGCAGCCACAAGGACCGTTTATATCATCTTTAAACTGGATTTTTAATCTGTTACATATTCTCAAAGGCTAATAAGCTAACGACAACGTGGTTGCTTATAATTTCAAAATAAGTTGATCTCTTATTTACTACCCTATAAATTTGCTGGCAAAATTTTATACAAAAGGAATTATGCCATTAAAACTCTATGACTCTCTTGTGTGTATAAATTTAACCTATTTAACAATCACGATAAAATTATAACTGACTACACATTACTTTTCTGAAATAGCTTTTATACATAATAATCACGGCTCATGAACAAGTTTGAAGGATCAATCTAACTCTACTCATTAACAATATCTCTGGCTGTCTTTAATTTTATTTTTAACACTTTGTTTTCCAAATTTCCTTAACAAAACATCTGTTAATTTCCAAGTCAGTCAAGTGAATTAAAAAATAGTTTTAAAAGAACCGATAAGCAAAGCAGTAACTGACAGGCTGAAAGGAGAAAGAGACAAATGCACCATTACAGTCAGAGACCTCAACCCTCCTCTCTCAATTATTCAGTAACTGATTGAAGGAGGAAGCCAAAACAGACAACCAACCAACCCCAGTAAGGATAGAGAAGCCTTAAATAATGCTATCAACCAACCTAACCTAACTGACATTTTATGCAACACTCCATCCAACAGCACGATACGTTCTTTTCAAGGGGATATGGAACACTCTTCAAGGCAGACAAGTCTCAGCATACTCAAAGTGACTGACATCATACAAAGTAGGTTCTCTGACCTCAACAGAATTAAATTAGGAATCAATGGAGCAGAAAGAAGAAAACAAACGAGCAGAAATCAATGAAATGGAAACCAGAAAAACAGAAAATAAAACAATGAAACTAAAATCAATTTCTTCATCGATATCAATAAAATTGACTAACCAGAGTGATCAAGAAAAAAGAGAAGACATAAACCGCCAATGTCAAGAATGACAGAGGGGACATCAGTACAGATCCTATGGACACTGAAAGGATAGCAACAAGAGTAAACTGTGAGCAACTTTAAGCAACTTACATAGAGTAGTCTAATTTCTAGAAAGACACAGTTTATGAAAGCCACTCAGTAAGAAACAGATAACCTGAATCTATTAAAACTCAAATTCGTAGTTACAAACCTTCCTACCCACCCATACACGCACACACATAAAATCTCTACCCTAAATGGCTTCACTAGTGAATCCGATCGAGCATTTATGAAAAAAATACCAATTCTACACAAACGATTCCAAAACATCGAAGAAAAAAACACCCAACTCATTCTACGAGGCCGGAATTATCTTGATACCGAAACCAGAGAAACATATAATAAGAAAACTGCAAACCAATATCCCTCAGAGACACAGATGCAGAATTCCTTAACGAAGTATCAGGAGATCAATAATCAATTAAACGAACAGGATATCGTGACAAGTAGGGCTTATCCCAAGAACGTAAGGTTGGGTCAACGTTCGAAAAACCAATGAAATTCCCTGTATCGATGAACTGAAAAGAAAAAGCACAATATCATCTCGAAAGACAGAGAAAAGGCATCTGACGATATTCACCATTTATATACGGAAATCTCAGCAACCTAGGAATGGAAGAAAACTGCCTCAACCTCATATACAGAGCATTTACGAAAAACGGAGAGCTGACAACATGCAAGGCATTCTCCCTAAGATCAGGAACAAAGCAAGGATGTCTGCTCTCGCAACTTTTATTCAACACTGTATTGGAACTCCTAGTCACTGTAATAAGACAAGAAAAATGAAATCAAAATCATATGAATTGGAAAAGCAATAAAACGGTATTTGCAGATGACCTGGTTATTAATGTCGAAAATGAATCCGCAAAACAGTTACAAGAATAAAAATGAGTTTATTAGCAAAGTTGCAGGATACAAGGTCAACATATAAAAATGCACAATACTTGTAAATACTAGAAATAAACTGGAAATTGAAATTTTAAAAAATACCACTTATTATAACATCATCAAAACCCATGAAATCCTCAGGGATAAATCTAACAGAATATGTGCAAGGTCTGCACAATGAAAAATAAACACATTATATGTATATACACACACACCAAAGAAAGGTACTTGATGTTCTGCAGTCCAAGAAGACTAAGGTATATTCAGAGGAATTCTGTACATTATGGAATCCTTGGAAATAGTATCTCTCGACTACCACCATGGTCTGTCTCAAATATATGGCCTCTAATCTATTTTATTTTTATTTTTTTTGCAGTATGCGGGCCTCTCACTGTTGTGGCCTCTCCCGTTGCGGAGCACAGGCTCCGGACGCGCAGGCTCAGCGGCCATGGCTCACGGGCCCAGCCGCTCCGCGACATGTGCGATCTTCCCGGACCGGGGCACGAACCCATGTCCCCTGCATCGGCAGGCGGACTCCCTACCACTGCGCCACCAGGGAAGCCCTCTAATCTATTATTAACACCAACAAAGCTGGAAGGAATGATTCAGACTCCAGCAAGAACACTCAAATTCTAGTAGGAAAAAAAAAATGTTTCTAATAGAAAAAAAAATTCTATAAATAGTCATGAGTGGAGATAAACATCAAACATTTTGGGGACATCATCACAATATCATGTTTCTTCACTCTTTCAAACCCAACTCTCATCTCATAAGCCTGACACTTACAGCATGAATATCTGGTATTATTTTCTTGCTTGCGGATTATGTGTTCTTACAGAGACACAAGATGCAAAGACATTTCTAAACAGAGAGTTCCATGGAAGCAGAAGCTTCTGTATCTTTGTTTACTCCTTAGGTACTCTAGTCACACCTAAATGGTCGATAATATAGGTTTCTGGGAAAATCAGGCTCAATCCAAGGGAGACCCACACCTCCTAGGCTGTCATCACAGCCTCTGAAAAAAAGCACACAATGGGGCTCTCTCATGATCAGAGAACATGTGGGATACAAGAGGCTCTATAGGGTCTACCTTTCCATCACTGAAATGATCACAAATACAAATCAGTTTTCTGAACTCTGTACAAGGTGAGAGTGATGGCATGGACGCGGCTGTCCTGTTCGATCCTGTACCACCAGTGGGCAGTGTAGTCTCGCGCGGACAGCTGGGTGATGCTACTTTCTAAATGAAGGCATCCAAGGCTTTGACAACACCTTGATGTCTTCTTCCCCTGAGTGCCCAAGGGAACCTCAAACTTCCCCTTGGGTTAGGAGCTGGTCACTGTGCTAATACCACAGGGAATACGCACTGTACGCCATCTGCCCCTGGCAGCTTCACGGACACCAGGAAGCCTCTCTGCGTTCCTCTCCTCTAGGAGAGGGGTGGAGGGAAAGCGGTCCTTGCTTACGCTGAGGACTCAACGTTGGCAATTCTGGTGTCATCGGCAGGGCTCATCCTTGTTTATATTTCCGTTGCGAAAAGCAAACGTCCAGCTTATTTAATTTACACTTCGTGCCCCATGACGCAGGGAATTTTATATTCAAGTGCTCACCAAGTTCTGCTTCTTAGTGTAAAATATACTGATGTTTACGTAATTATGAAATGCACTCTTTCAAATTCACTGATAGTCATTAGTGACCAGGTTAAAAAATTAATGAGGATATTTATCTGGAGTAGTGGCACAGAGTACCTAAATGGTGGTGTGGGGAGGGAGCTCACAGAATCATATTATAGCGTTTCCTCTTCTGTTAAAAAGTGATATAATTGGCTTTATTTCAGGAGTACAAATAGAGGGAAGCAGGTGTTTCAACCAACAACCTGTGATCAGGAAAATTCTGATTTAAAATTCCTTTGACTTTTCGGTTAAACAGTTATCCTCTCAAGGTCCGTGAACAGGTGCCACTAGCGAGCGCCTCAGGGAAACTCCAGCCGCAGCCGGCAGGCTTCGACTTGTCGCGAGTCACAGGGCAATGTCGTGGGATCACACGTGGGGAAATCACCGTTTTTAATCAACGGGTCTCAAAGTAAAGCTGAAAAACAGCTGTGACAGGGCTTTTCTCGAGCTGAACTGGGGACCTAACAATTCCACAGGCACGGGTAAGCGAGAATGGGCTCAATTTCTGAGAATCCCACCAGTAAGAAAGCCTTTGGAACAACACTGTATTAGGACACTCTGTAGCAAATGCCGACAGAGGTAGAGGCTCTACGGCAACTCTTGTGTTGGAAATTTATTAGAACACGATTTCCTCCTCGGTAGGTCTTGTAACTAACGCTACCCCCACCAGGGACTGAAATACATCATCTCAGGAGCTGCCAAAGCCAACAGGGCTTTGTAGGAAAGACCACGTGTCAAACAAAGTAATTTACGTGAGTGAGAACTAACTACCAGGGCACCACACGAGACATGTTCAAAGTTGTCCATGAGACGCACTCGTTAATCCCGTGCCTTCTTTGGCTAATGCTTTCAAACCATTAACAATATTCTATGTCAAGAAGTTAAAAACGTCAAGAAAAGTAAATTACAAGTTTTCATACTCCAATTCTTTTTGTTGCTGTACATATAGTGAAGAATACGTTATAGAAAGTCTCCAACCTGAGCCCAGCTTCCCTCCTCATCTTCCTGATGTTACGTGGTCAGGGATGCAAAAGAACATAACTATTAGTATTGGCGAGCTTAGTAATGCAAGCAAATTAACTTTGCAGGGGAGGTGCAGCTTGACGGGGTGAAAAGGGTCAAAGAATCAAAGCATCATGCAAAACTCATGCAAAACCAACAATGCCCATGTCTCATGCAAGGAGCGGACGTCCCACGGCAAGCACACCCGGAAGAGGAGAAAACTAGGGCCAGAGGGCTGAACTGAGGGCTCCCCTAAAGAAGACAGCAATTAAGTCTGTTCTACATGGAGCAAGTCTATAAGTTCCTGAAAAGAATATAAAAATAAGATGAAATATGGATTGTGTTTCACACATTTAACTAATACCTAAAGGAAATACTTATCCAGAACAATCGAACGTTAAGACGACATTTCTGTTTTCCACAGAAAGGCCAAGAACGGCGCCAACCTGAGGTGGGGCTGCCCGGGGAGGGGTGGGGGTGGGGGGTGAGCACGGGGCGGGACTGACCGTCTGGGGCGTGGCCGTGAGCGTCTCCATCTCCTCGTGTGTTAACCAGACATTTCCTGTGGTCTAGGGCCACCCCGTGACCGGCCACATCCAGGGCAAGGGCAGCGGTGACAGAGGGGAAAGGCGGCAGACAGGTCAGCCAGGTCAGCCAGGGCACGGGAGGGGAGCGGGTGGGGCAGAGGCCGTCCCCACCCACCTCCCCGTCTGAGATGCTCACAGCGAGACACGGGCGGGCGCTCAGCCCTTCTCCTGGCAGGACCCTGCCTTCTTAAGGAGGACAGCCCTAGAGCTTCTTCCTGTGCCACGCTGACACCTGAGCTACGTGGGATCTAAAGAGCTGTTAAGCCATTGTACTTAAGACGGTCTCACCCAGTCAAAGCACAACAAAGAACAGGACAGAAGTCCGGCTTTGGGCTCTGGGGAGATGCTTCTGAGCAGGCGCCCGCCGGGGACCGGGGCCTCTGTCAGAGGCGGGGCGCGGGGCCGCCAGCGTCCCAGTGACGGCACCGCCGGGCGTCCCCGCAGCCCCAGACGGCCGAGCCCCCGCGGGCGGTGCCCCCGCCTAATGGTGGGCGGGTTCCTCACGGGAGGCCTGTTCGTCTTCACCGTCCATTAAACTCAATTCATAAGACGCTCCCTTTACCGAGATACTTGATAAAAACTGCGGGAAAACCCCCAGCACCTTCATTTCTGAAAAGGCGACTCTGGTGAAACACCTGGGCACAGAGCAGATCGGATACACTGAGATCACGCGCACCTGTGCAAGAGGTGAGGACACGGGCTACTGTCATCACCACGACGCTCCCAGTGAGAAACAACGGAAGACGAGCGAACAGAAAAGCTTTCACGCTTTTTGTGTAAAGTAACCGTGAGCCCTGAATCAGGCGTTGACCTGCTACTCAGAGGAAGTACGTCTGTGAGGCTTAGTTTCCGCACTGGTTTTTCTCTCCAGAGTAGACAGACTGAAAGCAGAGTGGGAACTGAGCCGGTGTACAGAGTCTGCCCTTGAGAAATGAAGGGCTGGCCCGCCCTGATCTCCCAATTATCATTCACGTTTTCATTACGTTAGTTTTTCACTTTTTCAACTAGGAGGACCCTCTTAAAGGACTTCCAAGGTCTTCCCACATGGAGCAAAACTGGATGAGCACAAACACTACTTGGAGTACACTTGCAGATTTATGGACTCTTAAAATCCCAGGGTCTACAGCTCCCGAAACGGAGAGCGCCAACAGGCCGAACAAGTCAAGCGAGGGAACCACTGCTTACAATGCAACCTGGGGTCTAGGCTTTTTCTCCTTCACTTTCTTTAAATTCATATTTAAATTTGTGATGGTTGCTTTTTTACGTTTTCAAAGACTCCCATTTCTATATCACAATGCCACTGTAGCCAAGCTGCTATAAAAGTATTTAATGACGTTATCTTTTAACAGCCCAACTGCCGCAAATTAAAAGTTGTCATGTCTTTGAATGCTAAACCTTTAAACTGGAACACTAGATGTGTTTATAAAGAACTGCGGAAGCAACACGCATAGGGGCTGAACTCTTTTTACGGAAACGTACCGTTCTTGACGTAGGAGGGGCTGATGGACTTGTCAGGGACATGATCTCCTGAATCGCCAGCCTCAGCTTCAGCCGGTGCAGAGGGTTGCTGATGCCGATCTCGCGCTGGATCTCCGTGTCCGACAGGGCGGACATGATGGCCCCGCTCTTCACGTTGGCTCGGCAAGCAGCCACGTACCAGGCCGGCATCCCGACCCAGAGCTGGAGACGGGAGACACGGGGGCCAGAAGGTTATGCGTGGCGTACGGCCGGGCTCGCACACTCGGCCAGGATTCGGAGAGGGGCATACGCACCTCTAGCCAGACGACAACAGTTGGCCCGTCCCACTGTGCAAAGGGTAAGCCTTGTCTCCGGGCTTCTTCGAGCAATTCATGCCTACAGGTGACAGATGTTCAGACCTTCAAGAGCCACACTACACACAGGCAGAGTGTCCTCTTTATAAAGTTCACCAAAGCGTCCTCTTTATAAACCCCCAAAGTGTGGTGCCACACATCTCATCGCTGTCCTTCAGCCTCCTAAACTGTCCACTGAAGGGTAGTTTGGAACACATCACACTGAGCGCCTGAGTAATGAGGTGCTGAAAGACCCTCGAGGATTCTCTACAGAAGCGTCTCCTTCCAGGATTAAAGAATTACTACCAACTTTAAAAGACCCAGCAGAGTCTTCATATCCAAGGTAGGGTATTCAACACAAAGCATAATCACTCATCCCTTTCTAAACAAGGAGGACAAATCTGTAGGAGGAGGAAACCATACCTAGGTCTGAACAGAGGAGTCTGCCTCAGAGAGCTTCAGAAATGCTCAACATTTCACAACAAAAAACACACGGAACAACGCAGACCTTTAACACTAACAATGCTCTAATATAGCGAGCAAGGAAAGGGCTGGATTTCGGCTGTTTCTATTCTGCACTGCTATTTAGCTAAGTAGGTATTTGCTAAATTAAGATATTGGGTCATCTTTTTTTCGGGGGGGTTATTTAATTTACTTTTTTTGGCTGCGCTGCGTGGTTTGTGGGATCCCAGTTCTCCGATCAAGGATCAAACCTGGGCCCCCTGCAGTGGAAGGGCAGAGTCCTAACCACTGGACCACCACCAGGGAATTCCCGGGTCATCCTCTGGTTTAACCCACAAGCTTCACATCCAGAAAATTTAAATGCCAACAACCTCTACCAGTGCACACAAGGCAGGCCGTGAGCCTGTGATACTGACGGCGATGCCAACTACCCCAGGGCAGGAGGCAGCGAGGAGTCCTGGGATCCTTTATGGCAGGGCTCCCCAAGCCCTGGGATGTGGACCGGTGGCGGTCCGTGGCCTGTGAGGAACCGGCCGCGCGGCAGGAGGTGAGCGGCGGGGGAGCAGGCAAAGCTGCATCTGCCGCTCCCCGTCGCTCGCACTGCTGCCTGAACCATCCCCCTGCCCGGCCCCACCCCCACTCTGCGGAAAAACTGTCTTCCACGAAACCGGTCCCTGGTGCCAAAAAGGTTGGGGACCGCTGCTTTATGGGATCAGAGATGTTCTGTGTGCCTGACTTTAAAATGCCCAAACCATAATGTTAACATCTTTTAAAATGATTTTGTCTACGGATAACATACTTACGTAAGAGATAACACAAGAAGCTTTATGAACCTTATTGTACTTCTCTGCGTTATGTACTTACAAAACTTTCTGAAAGTCACTAATTAGCTTAAAAATGAAAAGTCTAGGAGAGAAGGTGGGACTGGAGTGGAAAGGACAGGTCCATTTACCTGACTGGACGTCCCTGAGCCACTGCAAAATTCCTAGGTCGTTCTTAGTTATTTTTCTGTAATAATTTCTGCAGATCACACCACGGAATCTCTTATTTCTAAAGATACTTAGTGGCTTTTTTTTTTTTTTTTCTTTTTTTGGCCGCGCTGCACGTCTTGGGGGATCTTAGTCCCCCGACCAGGGACTGAACCCGGCCACCGCAGTGACAGCGTGGAGTCCTAAGCACTGGACCGCCAGGGAACTAACTCCCTAAAGAAACATAGCGGCTTTTCATTCTATTCAAGCAGCATTAGACTTAAGACTGTGAAGTCTATGTACAATTAAAGCTCAAAGTGTTTCACATAAAATTTCAAGTAAGTGCTCCTTTAAGTCAACCTTAGGCTTCCTGGGAATAGTAAACACTGCACTACCCAGGAATGGTTCCACCAGAGGACACAACACGTATCTTAACGGCTCAAGCAGAGTAAAACAGCCAGTAAACTTTTTAAACTAAAACAAACAAAGCTATTCATAAATTAAAAACAAACGCTGAGTCCACGTGAGACTGTGACCATCCTGACACAGGATCCCAACGCTGGAAGGAGTAATGGAGGCAAGAAGGGCCTTGTCGGGCAGAGCAGCCATCAGCGCTGAATCGAATGCTACTTCCTGTTCCCTGAAGACGACTCCTCCTCAGACAGCAGCTACACCTTATGTAAACATTCACGGGGGCCATACAAGCCTCTGAGCGACGCAAACAAGGCCTGCACAGGCCAGCCAGGGACAGCCCGAGTGTGGTCCCCGGACCGCCAGGCTGGCCAGGAGGGGGCGCGGCAGCACCTGCCAGGCCGGGGACCTTCAGAAGCCCACGCTCTGAAGGGGGCCAAACAGGTACTGAATCCTTGGCACGTTGCCAGAGGCTTCATTTTTTTTCTAATATGCACCAGCTACTCACTGTAGACAAGAAATTCGGGGTTAGAAAGAGCCCACTGACTCCATTACCTGGAGGCTGGTGCACACTGTCCTGACTCTTTTCCAGGCAAGAGTCGTTCGCTTTCATAAAAGGCCTTTTCTACTACGGATGTATTCCTGGGACTTTAGAGCTCCGGTCCAGCGCCCTGATGACACTGGAATACGGTGACGGAGGCAGGACAACGCGGCTGAGAGACGCGGCAAGCCAGCGAGAGGGCGAGGCGGCCCGCGGCCTGGGAGCACGAGTCCCCTCCTCCCCGAGGTGCCCGTCCCGCGCTGGGGGAAGCACACCCACAGGCGGGCATCAGCGGCAGGGCCCCCACTCCCGCCCCTCCCGCCAGTGGGGCAGAGGAACAAATCACTGCTGCTCTCCCACTTCATCTAGGAACCCACTTCTGCCTGCTGCCGACAGAACCCGCGACTGCTCCGAATGGAATGCCGCGTGCCCTGGGATTCTCTGTTTCTACTCTCTCCTGTTTCCAGTTCTTCTCAACTGGAGATGCTCACGCTCCCCCCAGCAGAGGCCCACCTGCTCCCGCGGCTGCTTTTCTTCGGCGCGCTCGTCCGCACCACAGAGCTCTTGGCTGCCTTACGACCGACTGCTGACATTTTATCTGTTCGAGATCTGGGGGCTGCCACGGCACACACAGTTTTGTCTCCCTCACTGAACCCCATCATAGACAGTCTGAGAAACCAGGGGATGAAAGCAGCTACGTGGAGACTATTTGGGAAGCTATCGGTAAGTCTTCCCTCTGCCAGAAGCAGAACACCTGGTCTCTGCTAATGGAATATCGGTAACAAAAGGCCAAGAGAAAGAGACTTGATGACAAAAAATGGTATTTAAAAAACTCTTGAGTGGCAGAATAAAATCTGTTCAGTCCTTCACTTAGGAACAAGTGTGTTTCTTTAAAAAAAAAAAAAAAGTACTGATATCAAGAGCAAAGAAATAAATAAATGTGAAGTAGAGCCTGCCAACTCGCCCGTTCACTCACATGACCACTTTCTAATAATCAACAGAACCGTCTTTTCTTCCTTCTTTACTACAGCTACCAAGATAAACATGACAGGCATTTAGTCCTCAGCTAAGTTAACTGCAAGGGAAGGAGGTATTCCTTCACGGGTCAATCTTCTAGAAAACAAGAAGTCTTCCAGTCATTAGCTCCCAAGCCTAAAACACGAGCACTAAGGTGACAGGACTCCAAATGCCTTAAATCTGCCCAAAGCATCCAGCTCTGTTCCGAAGAAGCTGAGCTACAAGCCGGTATCCTGCGGGAATGAGGCGTATGCCATCTGCCGGGATCCCGCGGCCCCAAGCCACGGTCCAGAAGCAAACAGAGGACTCGCCCCGTTTCTGCTGGGATTGATTTCCTTCCTCTGCATCGCTCTCGCTGTCACTGTCTCACTCTCATCTCTGGCCTCAGTTTACAGAGAGGGCTGGGGACACGAGCTCAAGGGGGCTGCCTCCCCTGCGGGCCAGCTGGGACGAGGTCAGCACTGTGCCCGCCCGGCTCGGGCCACGCGTGCGGGGGCTACTCGGCTGGGACTTGATCTGCCCCGTCAAGGATCCAATTCTAGACCCCAAGCGGGATTTCTTAAATACCTGCTCTAGTAGTCGACTCATGTGGCACACTTACTAACCTCAGAATCAGAGTCACAGGAGAAAGACGTTCAGAAATACGCTGAATTCTATGGGGAACAGACACGCCTATGAGAGAAAGGTCATGTCATATGTGAATGACAACATGCGTTTTAAATTGGGACAGAAGCACCACGGTCAAGCTGTCTTTCGTAACGAGACGGTTGTGTGAGCTGCTGATCAAATACCATACGAGTGGCATCATCCAGACAACAGACAGGGCCTCATTTCTCTGACACTGACACTCTGCACACCCGGCACCTCCTACAAACGCTCACCGGGCTCCACTTCACCGATGCAGCCGGGCCTCATTTCTCTGACACTGACACTCTGCACACCCGGCACCTCCTACAAAGGCTCACCGGGCTCCACTTCACCGACGCAGCCGCGCAGGCCGGCGCAGGGCTGGAGAGAGGCCCGGGTGGGAGGACTGCGGTGCCGCTTCCCGTCAAAAGCAGTACAGCTCCGAGCCTGTAGCTGGCGACGGGCAACGCGGAAGGTTTCAGGACACACAGCACAGCAAACCCCACGACTCAGCTTCCCCCGTGAGCGCACGACAGCGTCGACCAAGGGGAGGTGGAAAGACAGCATTTAAAGCACCAGGTCCTTATTAACGGGGTCCAGTTCAAACGCCGTTGGGCAAGTGCCCGCACACGGGGAGCCCGTCTAGAGCCCAGGCCACCGCGATGACGGTCAGGGACGCCAACTTCCGCGACAGCTGCAGCCTCCACGCCTCACCGAGCACGTCCAGCACCAAGTGTGCCCGCCGTGCTCTCTCATGTAGCTTTCATGAAACCTGAAAGTCTCATCTTCACCAAATTTTGAAAATTCTCTAAAAAAGTGGACGCACTGGCTGTGTAAATTTAGCAGTTAAAAGAGCACCTCTGAGATAAATTGGGGCTTGATAAAAAGAAAATATTTCTGCCAAGCGTATTTTGATTCTCCCATCGATAATGCCATAAACGTTAAACTATATTCAAACAGTACTTTTTCTGGAAAGCTCAAATATTTTTTTCACATTTATAAGTGAAGCATTCTCCCTGAAGTCAACTGTATCTCTGGTTAACTGACAGAACTAAAATCACCCACTGTTGTCAGAAAACCTTCGGACTCTGCGTTGTTCTCCAAGTCGTCAGTACATGTTAGAACTTGCCGTGCGTGACGATGGAGCAGAGAACAAGCTGCTCGTGCACTCTCAGCCATGGTAACACAGAGTCAGAAGTTCAGCCTGAGCACCCGAGCTCCAGAGGAAGCTGCCTAGCAGACACACACACACCAGTGCACGGAACTTCATTACACGCCGGGCAAGTAACCCAGCGACGTCTGCCACACGCAGCCCACCACTCGAGCTTCCTCCTGAGAATTACAAGACAAATGGAGAAAACACAGTGGAAAACTACGTTTGACGCTACGTGAAACACCAACGCTCAGGAGCAGAGGGTGGGAGGGCTGGCGGCACAGCCATAACCCCTCCTGGTCTCTAGCAGCTGAGCGGGAAGATGTCAAGTGAAACGCCCCAGCAGAATCTAGGGCACAGAAGTGTCCTGGCATGACTGCAGAAGGGCAAAAGGCTCTGACGTTAAGTCCCCATAAGCGAACGGCAGTCACCTGAGTTCGGGTACAACACTCTCTACAGTTCAAAGACAGCAACACTCAAATCAGCTTTTGCTGCTGAGTGGTTTCTACAGTTTTCCACTTCCAGGGAACCAAAGACCGAGTATTCCTACGGTGTCGTGCGCAATGACCGAACGGACAGCATTTCCCCGGAACGCGATCAACAGTATGCCAGGCAAGATCACTGTGATTCCTGAGAAGAGCTAAGATGAGGCAGATTTCACAAAAGGAAAGTCAACAGGCAACCTCAGGGGCTACAGGCAAACTGGCCTCTAGTGGAGAGGGTCCCCGTGGGCTCAGTGCCTGCAGGCCCTGGATTCCAGACCAGTGTTGGTTTCTCAAGGTGCCTGACAGTGGCCAGATGACCTTCCCCATCGTCAGATTTATCACAGAGCCCACCCAGCTTCCCCCGTCTCAAGGGCCAGTATTACCACCTTATCACCACCTTCCCCACTCTCAGGTTCGTGCTCACCCGAGACTACAAAACGTTCCGTCTTATTTCCCACTTGTCAGTTCACTGGGACAGTCTCCGCCTATCCAGGTCATCTACTTAGCGCTCGTTTGGGATGTGGTCACCCGACACACAAACTGTCCTGGGTCAGAAAACGTCTCTGGACCCAGAGACACGTGCACAGGCTATGTGCCTCTGTGCCTGATCCTGGGGCATCACAACGCCCGAGCTCCTTTGTAGAAAACCATCCCTACTGTTATTGCATATTTTCAGAAACCAGGACAACTCAGAATTAAAATTTAATAAGATTGCAAAACTGAGAGTCTGTTTAAGGTAAAAATACAAAATCTACCAGAGGAGGGAAAAAAAGGGCAACACGGTAAGTGACAACTTCCTGACTGATCGCTGGTGCGAGCCGCAGGTGCCAAGTCCCCGCAGTGGCTGCAGTGACACGTGCGTCTTCCCCAGCGCCGGCACTGTTTAAGGAGCCTCGTGTACGTATACGTAGATGTATCTGTGCAGCTAATGCTCGTAAAGGCCCCATGGGGTATGTACTACTATGACTCACATCTCACAGATGAGAAAACTGAAGCACAGGAAAGCCAAGCTTCCCAACGCCCCAAAGCTGACTTGTGCAGGAGCCGGCATTCAGATATGAGGGCTCCGTGGCTGCGCACGACTCAGCACCACGACTCATCCTCGCCAGAGTGGACTAGGAACCCACGTGTGAGTCCTCCGCGGACTCACAGGTGTTCTAAGTCCTCCGGGAAGCACAGTTTAACAAAGGCTTTGGGCTAAGCTTTCAGAAGATAGTATATCTACAGAGCTGGACATCACATTTCATCAATAAACATTAGTTAAGCATCAGGAACAACTGAAAACTGTTCAGTGAGATCGACAAAAAACAAAAACCTTACTTTTTTTGAAGTTTACGATTTTTTTCAGCCTGTCCTCCCAATTTGCTGAGTCCCAAGGCATCTTGAGATGAGTTTTCTGTCTCTGAAATAACAGCTACGAGGAAGCAGAGTGGTCGAAATATTGAGAGAAAATCAACACGGCCGAGTTAGGTGTTTCTGTAAACAGGTGGAGGAGTTTTTGTAGGGAGAGTGAGGAAAATTCTAAAGGTGAACTTTCCGACCAGACGGCCCATGCGCACACACGCACACGAAAACGCTCAAGAGGCAGGAAGGCTGACGCCTGGGAGACGCTGAGCTGCTCAAGGCAGGCGGACGTTACCCGTGCTCTCTGGGCCGTGTGTGGACCCACTGGGGAAACAGACCCGGGAGAACACCCAGCTCGTGTGAGAGGACGCACGCGGTGGCGACGGGGCGGCGGAGGGGCGCACAGGGGTGCGCGTGCAGCCCCCTGCCCACTCCGAACACTGAAGGGTCGGCTGGAAACCACCTACCTTGTCCCAGCGACTCCTTGCCCAGGGCCCCAGGCCGGCCCTTCTCTTTCTTGCCGAACAAGCGGCCGATAGAGGACTTGATGCCCTTCTTCTTGGGGGCTTTGTGCAGCGAGTCCTGGCTGCTGCTGCTACTGCTGGGGTTGCTCGCGGGGCCGTCCTGCGAGCCTGTCGAGCTTTGGGGACAGAAAGTGACCTTTAACGGGTGGCCTCGCGCAACCACACCCCCTACAACGCTCGCTCCCCACACCACGCGGCAGATGGGGCTCCTCGCGGACCGCGGTGCGCACAAGAGGTGCAGGCTCCCCACCACGGACGGCTGCTCCCGAGAGGCCGGGACTCTCTGACGTGAGCTCTCCTCCGAAGAGGGAGGGGCCCGACTCTAGACCACCCAGTGCAGAGGGCGCTCCGAGCCCCTCAAGGTAATGGCCCGGCAGGTGCAGACGCCCCCGGGGCCGGGGCAGGAGAGCGATGGTCACCGTGCAGGGGCGCCGGAGAGGTGACCACACGTGCCCTGCATCGAGTGCTGCCTGGCCCCGGACAGGAGCTCAGCAGGCGGTGGTCTGAACAAGGCCAGCGCCACAGAACTAACTGCAACTGACAGTCTCCTGAGAGGAGGCACTCGGGGAGCATGGAAGGATGGGGCGGGACACCTCACAGCTCGGAAAGGACAAGAACGCATCCGAGAGCCACGGAGCGTCCTACAGAGGAGTAACGCTCAGAAACACAGCCCGCGCCGGGCGGAGGCTCCCGCCAGAATAGGAAGAAAGTTCCCAAAGGAGTTAATCTGTAGAATCTGAAGAAACGAGGTGTTTCTAAAATTGCTGATATCTCTTAACTCTTTTCTTGCCAAGCTGACTCTGTCCAAACAGAAGGTACCTCCTGCCAGATTTCACTACAGCGCCCAGAGCAGGGGTCGGCACCCTAAGTCTATCACCTCGACAAACACGCTGAACTGAGTGGTATTTCTTTAAAATCATCATTCTGACTTGTTTTTCAAGAGAAGACGAACAGATTTCCTGAAAGTGGAAGGAGGAGAGCAGGGCCCTTACTTGCGTGCGTCCCTGATGTCCTCGTGGCTGGCTGTGTGCAGCGCCCCTGCGTGCAGCCGGTCCAGCCGAAGGGATCGTGGGGAGGAGGGGGGTGAGGTTTCACATTTGATGGTCGTCTTGTCGTCTCGTACCTCTTCTCGGGAAGCTGGCAGCTGAGGGATTGAGATAAGTGTAAAATTAGGTGACAACAGACTGTGACGGATAAAGGAAATCACGGAGGCTCCACATTATAACCAGAAACGTATTTGAAAACCTATTAGCTATGCTTTCTGCCAGTACAAAAAGGCTTGATCTAGCCTAATGCCATCTTAAAGGGCTGTCTTGTTCATGAGCAGCAAGGCTGTCAGCAGAGGGAGCACAGAGCAGAGCCGACTCCCGCCGGCCTGCACCCGCATGAGCGCGGAGACCTGGACAGCGGCCTCCCCGTGGCCTGCCGTCCCTAGAATCCAGGCCACCCGGACAGCCCCGCCTGAAGCCACCACCATAAACCACGCATGGCATTAACCACCGCGATGAAGAGGACCCCGATGAAGAGGACGACTGTGTTTATCTCCTGATGCCATTCAACAGAAACACTAGCACGGGGAAGAAACCTCTCAGGCAAACCTGTCCAGACCTTTCTGTTTGAGAGGAAAAAAGAAATAGCTTGTTCTAGGTCTTCATCAAAAGACGATCTCTTCCAGACTCCCAGCTTTCTGGCTTATAATGGGATGTGAGTATGGGAAGCAGGGTGGTGGTTACGGTATGGGGAACAGATTAACCCCTTCAGGGTCCAGGCAGATCTCCCTTATAAATCTGGGTTTTGTGGTTAAGCCGGGTTAGATTTTACGAAACATGCACGGCAAGCATCTGTAGAAACAATGGGACTTGAGCAACCGACCTGTGCCTTTTTAATGGGATTCCGTAAAGAATAATAGTGATCCACTGCAGCCCCACAGTGGCTTGGTGACAACAAAGTGACCCGGGGCAAAATATAGCTGAACTCATTTAAGCGACAGCTGGATAAACTGTGTCCTCTCCTGGTTTCTAATTGCAATCATCAGATAGCGAAAGGCTAGAAATCATCAATGTGAAGCTTAACAGGGATCGATCTCAAGTTCAAGCTAAAACAATCCTTTATAAAAATCAAACGGGTCAGGGAAGTGACACAGGTCTGAGCTGACTATGGACTCCGTGGAGACAAACAGCTGCTTTGAAGCCCAGTAAACACGACAAGCCCCTTCCCAAGGGCCTCTTCCTAAGGAAGTCCTCCGGGCCCACCCTGCCTGGCACCTCCCCCGGGATGAGAGCCCGCCCCACTGTGCCCACGTGACTAGGACGGGCAGCTGCACGCAAGCTGGGCAGGCGTCTCGGCATCCACGTGCGGCGTGGAGGAGGCGGCAGGTCCGCCGGTGCCTGGTTCTTGGCGCACACACGCCAAACCTAGAACAAGGCCCTCTCAGTAGCCAGCCAGCGAGCTCAAGCTACCACATGCAACAGACCAGGCCCCCCGGCCGGGACGCAATCAACAGGCCACTACCTTTATTGAGAAAGTCTTGCCACCGAGAAGACTACGAACGTATGCAGCAGAACTGTGTCCCACTGCCGACCTGTGGACTGTGCAGGGATGGTACAGCGTGCCCACCCCGAGGGCCACGGGTCTACCGCTGTCCTCACTTAACAGCAGGGCAAAGCCGGGCCCAGAACGGGCGAGCGGCTCACCCAGGTCACAACCAATCGGTGACAGAGCCGGGACTTTAAACTGCCGCACTGCTGTGGCCTGGCAGAGGGGCGCTGGCGCGCTGGGCGGCTGGGCCGCAGCACGGCTGCGTGGTGAGTGCACGCTCAGGGGGTTGTGAGCCTGAGAGGGAGGGAGACATCGTGGTCAACAGATCTGGCCCTCAGCGCACCGTATTCCCTCCAAGAACAGGGGCTCAGTCCAGGGTTATCCGAGAGGAAGGAGCCCCGAGCGCCCTCCGTCAGGAAGGCTGTGAAGGAGACAAGAGCTCCTGGTGGAAAAGCGGGCCAGACGGCGCCAGGGCTGAGGGTCCAGGTTCTGAAATCAGACAAATCCACAGTGCGCTGCTGACTGTGCGAGCCTGGGCACAGCGCCTGGCCTCTCTAAGCCTCGGCGTCCACGTCTGTTGAATGGGGATAACAACAGCACCTGGACCTCACGTGGGTGTTTGTGGGATTAGGGAACAGACTCGTAAAGCATTCAGCACGACGCCTGGCACAAAGTAACAGCCCACCGAACGCTACTACCTGTGACTATTAAAATTGCTTTCCCCCAAATCTAGCATCTATGGCTCCGCGTCCATCATTTCTTTTTCTTTTTTCTTGCGGTACGCAGGCCTCTCACCGTTGTGGCCTCTCCCGTTGCGGGGCACAGGCTCCGGACGCGCAGGCTCAGCGGCCATGGCTCACGGGCCCAGCCGCTCCGTGGCATGTGGGATCTTCCCGGACCGGGGCACGAACCCGCGTCCCCTGCATCGGCAGGCGGACTCTCAACCACTGCGCCACCAGGGAAGCCCCCCATCATTTCTTTTTAGAAAACACTATGGGCAATTCCCTGGCGGCAGGGTGGTTAAGGACTCAGCGCTCTCACTGCCTGGGGCCCGAGTTCGATCCCTGGTTGGGGAACTAAGATCCCGCAAGCCTCGCAGCGCAGCCAGAAATAAATAAGTAAATAAACAAATAAATAAAATTTAAAAATAACAAAAAATAAAAACCACTATGTCTATTGTAAATAACCGTGCAACACTTAGAAGGCAAACAAGTGGGAGAAAGGCAAACTCTTACATTTGTCCCAGTGAACGACCTATTTCCAGCGGAACCATCAGCATATGTTAAGTGGAGGGTGAGTTTCAACACTTCCATTAAAACGTCAATTATTCACCAGTACTCAACCACATAGTGTTCATTCACGTAAAACGACAGGGACTCTTCAATACTTCACAAAGAAACAAACGCATGCTGAATTACTAAATATTTTACCTTTCTACGATGCTTCCTTAAATCACTAGGCTGACAGATGCATGCGAAGAAACGAAGAGAAACCAGATTTACTGCACACTTTGAAGTTAAAAATTCAAGGATCAGTACAGGCAAATATATTAAAAAGAAAATGACAGAACACATGTAAGTGAGATAAGATTTAGAGAAAATGTAACTGGAAATAGAACATTTTTTTGACCACAAAAGTTAAATATAATAAGCTATTCAAGACTTCCTAGTGAAACAGTATAAATTTTCCTCAGGAAGATACAATTCTATTACAACATACTCCATTTCTTATAATATGGCATTCTGTATAGCGAAGGGCCCTAACAGTTGTCTATTCTAAGCCAAACTGCTCTATAGCTTAGTTTTCCTTAATAAGAAACATGTGACACTTCAAAATAGCAATCTAACTGGTGAGGAAGTAATTGCAAGACCTATTTTAACACTGAACAAATCTAACCACCTATTGGACATGAACGTAAAATCCTTACCTAGAATTTGATTTAAAACTTCTCAAAATAAATTTATTGATTAAAGCAGGTACCCTGTGGAAATATGTAAGAATAAAAGCTAGCATAATGGCAGATAGTCTTTACATTTTATGATTCATAGAAGATAATTTAATTAAAACTAGTCTAGTAAAGGCATTAACTGTGCATGTTTAATAAGCTGATGAGATTTACCGTCTTAAGTAATACAAGCACCGAAACCAGAAAGTACGTTGTGTCAGAGTCCATTAATTCTACACTTGGTGGGTCATTTCTTTATATAAGCAGCATCTCACTTATGAATTACACGTATGCTATACAGTGTGAGCAAAAACACTCTGGTCCATCTACATCATGCCTGTAGCCATACCTATTATGCAGTGATACACTAAATAAAACTCACCGCTATGGGGGAAAAACACTGTTTAATGAGAAACGAAGGTAACGCAGAGACCCCACTAATGAGCCACGACCAAGCATAGACACGCTGTGGAGCACAGCACTGCTGTGGAAGGGACTGATAACCGAGTGGGGTGGACGGGGAGCGGAGCTGGATGGCAAACTACAGGCCTGGCGGTGGGGAGGCTGGGGTCTGGATTAACTGATAAAACAAAGGATGATACAGGGAATCAACACTGATGACAGAAGCAGACACACCATCAGCCAGTACAGAGAACCATATAACAACAAGGAAAAAGAATACACAGAACTGTTTTTACACATTCTCTGAAAGATACTAAGCATGAAGCCACAAATGAAATCGTCAAGGAGTTTTAATTATCAGCTAATTAGCTAATGATGTAAATTACAAAAGCAGTATATGCCCAAATACCACAACATGGACTAGTTACCACTTCACGTGTCACTGAAATGATTCACAGTTGATTTAATTATATGCTGGCTAACAATGCAGCTAAAATGAAAATGGGTGGTAACAGAAAAAAGTTATAACACAAGTGCAGTTAAAAAGCAGAATACTGTAAATACGATTTCACGTGGTGAACAGCAATGCACTCGGAAGACCTAAATACACAGAAAGCCATAACGTGTGCTCCAGAGCTGCACGCTGTCACCACGCGGTCATCGCATTTCCAGATGAGGAAGAGCAAGGACGCCCGTGTGCTTCCCTGGGAGCCGCGGGGCACCAGCTTTTTTTTTTTTTTTTTTTTTTTTGCGGTACGCGGGCCTCTCCCGTTGTGGAGCACAGGCTCCGGACGCGCAGGCTCAGCGGCCATGGCTCACGGGCCCAGCCGCTCCGCGGCATGTGGGATCTTCCCGGACCGGGGCCCGAACCCGTGTCCCCTGCATCGGCAGGCGGACTCTCAACCACTGCGCCACCAGGGGAGCCCAGGGGCACCGGCTTTTAACCTGGTTTCACATGCAGAGCTGGCGTGAGTGCGTGGCCAGCCGCCTCAGCAAGAGGACCACTTTAGCTTTTTTGGTTTTGTTTTGACCGCATGCCCTGCCCCCTCCAGTGAGACATCCCTAGTGTAAAGAAAGACAGCATCGACTCCCTGTACAGTGTTCGAGATGCCATTAGGGCTGCCTATGTTTACTCTTGCTAAGCTGTCTATTCCTGAAAAACAAAAGCTTTCCTGTAGCTGCTGCGCCTTGCAGAGGCCATGCCCAATGTTACACAAAGGAGAACTGTGGATGAGTTCATGATGACATGCTAAGCTGGTGGTCCAAACATTAAAATTAATTTGTCATTAATTGGGGGACTGATTAAATACTAGCTTTAAAAATCTTGAACCTCTGAACATAGCAAACGCACCTGATTTTCTTCTAGGTTAACCAAGAAAGCAAGCAAGCAAACCAGGTGTGCTGGGGGGGAGGGTGCAGCAGGGAGAAGGCAGACACTTACCAGAGTCATGACGCCTAGTCTGTCCACTTCCCTTGCCGGGCTGTGCGGGGCCCTTCGAGGGGTGGGCCGCCCGCTGCTGGGAGGGGAAGAGCTGGCCCGAGAGGAAGCAGGGTACGGGGGGATGGAGCTCACTGATCGAAAACGACCAAGGCTGTCCAAGCTCCCACTGCCCACCCTGCTCTCAATCTCCTCCGCCCGCTGCTCCGTGCTCTCCTTTTCTTCTTGAATCAGCCTGAGGCAGAATAAAACCGTCACCCGCCTTTGTCAGAAAACACAGGGACATGCCTGGATAACAAATCTGGGTCTGTATTCTGTGTTACCATTAACGACTTACCACTGAATCTTACAAAGCTGCTTCCGATCATTCACGTTTGATTTTCCTTATTTACACTAAGATTCTGACGGGGGCTGGGGGGCAACTCTCACTGCGTAATGAGGTATTTAAAATTTACAACGTTTACCTTCCCTGTTGTTACAGCAAAGCAGCACACCTGTCTATCAATTTTTTCAACTGGAAATAGGGAACTCTGATATAATCAAAAAAGCAATTCACAAAGCAATTTGGAGTTTCTAAACACAAGTCTCTAGACCAGATGAAAATGCTGAGTTGATCTTTTTTTAAGGTTGAATTTGAACAAAAGTATTATTTCATAAAGTTCTCTACCAGCCTCATGTGAGTTTCTTTTTTTGTTTGTTTTTTGGGGTTTTTTTTGTTGTTGTTCCCCGACCAGGGATTGAACCCATGCCCCCTACAGTGGAAGGGCAGAGTCTTAACCGCTGTACCGCCAGGGAAGTCTCTCATGTGAGTTTCTGGATTCATGTCAACCACAGCTGCATTACTCTGGAATTCAAGGTTAATGTTCCTCTCCCCGAATGTGTACTGGATAGTTAAACAGCAGTCTAAATACCTGACTATGCAAATACAATTATTTTGATATTAAAATACCGGATCCTTGTCGTAACCTTTCCAATTTAAGTTCTACTTATATATCCTGAAAGTATTTTCTCATTTTTGATAAAAAGTCGATGGGCAGAATTTACCAGTTACATCAGGTCAACCTGTTGCATAAGGAAAAAAATCACTTTTACCTGGCTACGAAAATAAAAGTATATTATCGTTTCATAGTTCCCGCAGGGATGGGGAGAGACAGTCTTTCAGAGCTCGTCTGGGTTCAAACATGGCACACGAAGAAGTCAGTCTATGAAGTCAAAAGTGCAGGCAGCACGACCTACTTTTGCCATTTATTCTGCGGCCTTTCCTCTCTGGCCCCCGTTCTCTGCAGGTGGGAACGGGCACCTCTGCCTGTGTTAACGTGACAAGAGCAATCTGAGCAGCAACTCTGACCGGGTCCGCCACAGGGTCACTGGCCTGGGGCTGCTCTGCATGTGGACTTGGGACAGGAGGTGTGGCCATGGCAGATCTGACACCGGGCAGGCCTCAGGGTACCCGGTCACACTGCTGCCCCCAGACCTAAGGCCTCCTGACCACTACAAGGCAGTCCTCTGGATTCTATTCCCTGTTTTGCAAAGTAACTATTATAATTGCTACGACAGTTTCTAAAGAAAACATCTTAAATATACTGATGAGACTAAAAAATACTCAAACACACATCCTTTGACCACTGTCTTACAAGAACCAATTTTCACATTATGTTAATTTAAAAGCAAACTGCAAGTCCCAGTGGGAGCCTGCCAACCCGAAAACCCCAGCTTTTCTGTTCCCGGTGGCTTTGGGACACACCACAGAATACGCGAGGCTCCAAGGGACCCACAAGAGGGCGACCCCTCCGTGCCGGAGGGCGCACAGGCTGCAGGGGGGCATCACCTCGGGGCTCAGAGCTGGGGGGGACACAGCCGGCTGGCAGAGGCCGATGAAGGGTGTGCCCTCACTTTCTGCGGCACGCCCACCAGCCCTGCCCCGGGAAAGGAATCCGGGGAGCCGACTCCGCCCCGACTCCCTGGCGCCATGTCTCCGCCCTGCACCCCGGACGGACATGGCCTCGGCTCTCTGCACCCCGCCATCTCTCTCCAGGTGTGTCGGCAGCTTCCGGGGGCAGGGGCTGAACGCCTCACGCCTCTCCCCCTTCCACGACGTCTCACACAGTGTGCTGACCCCACAACTGTGGAGACAACACCCTGCTTAACTGAGCTTTATAAGCAAGGGCAATCTCAGGACTTAAGATTCTTAAAACAGAACCGACGTATGTTTTCTTATTTATGGAACACTTAGGCTTTTCTAAGTAGCGACCACCCCTCGGAGACACCGTGTTTCCGGGGAGCCAGGCACGGGCACACGCACCGGATCTCTTTGTTGATGGCGTCCAGCTGCTCCTGAAGCATCATGGCCAGGGTCTGGGCATCGGCCTGCCCGCTGGGTGACAGCAGAGTGGCCGAGCTGAAGAGCGTGTCCCCGTCGCCGGCGCCATCAGGCACGTCCGCGCCGCTCTCGAACGCCTGCGCCACGTGAGCCAGCACGCTGGCCTGCCGCGCGCGCTCCCAGTCCTGCTCGTCCAGGGTCTGCACCTGCGCACGAAAGGCCGCGGTTCAACAGCGACAGTCAGGGCAACTTCAGGCTACCAGCAACTTGAAACAACTTTACACAGAGACCCAGAAGACCTTGGAAAAATGGGTCACGCTTAGAAGCCACTGACATCTGTTAAGTGAGCAGTACTTAAGAAATGGGCAGGAGGAGAATCTATTTCTCAGACAGCCTGGCAACGTTCACTTCCTAGCCTGGACGGGAGGCAATTCTACGACGTTATTCGCAAGGCTGAGGCAACCGCGTCAGAAACAAAAACCGAAAATTAAAAAAATTAATTCCGTGCCACCATCAGCCAGGCTGAAGGGAAGTAAAAAAAAATCCCTCAGATCCAAAGCCGCCGGGTTCACCTCGGCTACCATAGCTTTTACCAGGGCCACCACGTAACAGGGCTCTCAGAGGTCCCTTAGTCTCGTCTCCTGAGGCTGGTCCCAACACGGGCAGACAAGAGCAGCAGCAGAAGGGAGATGGGAGAGCCTGCCCCCGACAGCCCTCGGGGCGAGGGAGCCGCAGAGCAGCGGGGCTTTTCTAGGGAACTGCAACTCGCGTTGCAAGGGCACCTCCGTGCTGAGCCCAGACGCCCTCTGCGCTGTCATCAGAACATGCACAGAAGCAGCGTGCTCGCTGGGGCCCTGCGCTGCCTCTCCTCTGGGGCCGTCCCACACCCCTTCCCTCCCCAAACCTCCTCCCGCCCCCCATCCCCACCTCCACGCTCAGCCCAGGGTCCTGCCTTCCGTTTCCCAGACACGACCTCAGAGTAACTGCGGGGCAGCCTCTAGACGCAGGCTCCCCAGCCCCCTGCCCCCGGGGCCTGTGCCCACGCAATCTGTCTTCCGACCCTCCCCAGGGCCGGGCCACCCCCTTCAGCTGGTCCAGGATCACCTGCCATCACTCCTCCTTCCCTGTGGCTAATCCACGTCCTAGGGGCTCATTCCCAACAGCCTCAGGATGTCCACTCCCTCCTCTCTCCTTAAAAGCACACAGCAGGAACCACAGAACTCTCCCTCCAGGGCTCCTTCCAGCAACCACTGCGTTTCCCTGAAAGTGCCCAAGGGCAGCCGCTACACCTCCCCTTCCCTCCTCCGTCTGTCTCCCACTCTCTGCAAGCAGGTGTGGCTCCGGGGGCTCCGTGGAGCCCGCACGCCTAGGTCCCCCCCCCCCCACCGCCCCGCAGAGCGCGGGGGCCCCCCCCCCGGCCGCCCCCCCCCCCCCCCCGGGCTACTCCTCACCCCCTGCCGCCCTTTCTCAGCCTCCCGGCCTCTGAATCCGGGGTGCCCCACGGCTCTATCCGTGGACCTCATCTCTCTCTCCACAGGCACCGACCGGGTGACCCTATCTGGCTCATGCCTTTAAATACCACCTGTATGCCCATGACCCCAAGTCTACCTCGAGTTGAGAGCTCTCCCGGGTCCAAGCTGGAACACCCAGCTGCCGACCTGTCCACCTGAACGGGACCGAGGCCCAGATCCCAGCCTCCCCCGACCCGGCTATCTCCCTCACAGCAGGAAACAGACCCCAGCCTTGAGCTGCTCCCGGACCGCCCCCGCCCCCGTAGCCTACGTCCAGTGCACTGGCCCGTCTGGCTGGCACGACCGTTACCTCCGAATGGCTACTCCCCCTCCCTTCCTCAGGTCTTTGCTCGAATGCCACCCTCCTGGAGACCCTCGCTGGCCACGCTGTTTAAAAAGTATTATTCCCCTCCTTGTTTGGCAACTCGGGTACCCTTGGTTTCCTTTCCCTGCTTATTACCATCTGACAGGCTGTGGTGACTGAAAAATACGTCCCTTCAAGAGGCAGAGGGCAATTCCTCCCTGACCCCCGTGAGTGAGGGCAGGACTTCGCAGCTCACTCTAATGATCAGAACGCAGTGGAAGCAAAGGTGTGCAGCTTCCGAGACTGCGGCATGAAAGGCCTCTCCCCCGCTCTCTCTCCGAGGGAGTTCTGAGGAAAGCCAGCCCCATGAAGAGGTCCACACGGCAAGGACCGGGGCCCTCTCGCCAACAGCCAGGTGAGGGAGTCTGAAAGCGTGCCACCCAGCCCCGGGAGAGCCTTCCGGTGGCAGCGACCTCAGGAGGCCCCGAGCAGGGCCCAGCCCACTAAGATGCTCCCACGTGCACACGAACTGTGGACTATTAAATGTTCACTGTGAAGCCACTGAGCTTTGCAGTGACTGGCTATGCAGCAGGAGATAAAGAATACACACGGCATGTTTTATTTTACTTTCCATTCACCGCTGCCTCTCTCTTCTCACTAGGGAGTGCGTGTTGGGGTGTGCGTGCGTGCCGGTATTTTGTCTGTTTTTAATTCTCTGCTGGAGCCCTAGGTCTGAGGATGCCTGGCCCAAACTAGCGGCTCACTGAATGTGGGGGCTCAAAATACAGAGACATATATAAAAACTATATGCCGTGAAACGCACAGAAATATGAAGGCAGTTGAGCTTCCAAATGAGACTTCCCCTCGCTACAAGATGATGAACGTGCGCGTTCGTTTACTCTTAAGGACGACCTCAAACCTGTGCTCGTGGCGCTGTGCCGCGCCTCACAGTAGGTCACGTTACCAAAATTCGTTCCAAAAAAAAAAGCTTGCCTTAAAAGTAAACTCTTAGGAAAATGGGGGCAGGGGAAGAGAGGAAGCGACCCATCAAGCTTTGTTTCAAGACAGTCTCCGAACCGCAGGGCGAGGAGGCCAGTATCTCACAGAGCGCTGGCCCGGGACAGGGGGCGGGGCGGGGCGGGGCGGGGGGCCTTGCCTTGGAAGGCTCGTCGCGCAGCGCTGCCAGCCGGCCTTTCTGCGGGCGTCGCAACACCGCGCTGCTGCTGAAGGAGTCCGAGGGCCCGTCTGCCACGGGGAACCTGAAATCTGGGACGCTGCCCAAGTGGGGTCGGCTGAAACATGGGGGAAGAAAAAGGTCATTATTAGGAGAAAAGTGACCTCACTTTGTTGGCCAAGCCGGAACCTGTCAACCTGGAAACTGAGTGATGTCACAGGAGAAGGTCGCCCAGGAGGGCACCGCTCGCCGGCTCCAACAGCAACCCGCCGCCTGCCCCACCACATCCGGGAAAGCCAGCGCAGACACGAGGACATGCAAGTGACAGGGACGGCATCCAGCTGTCTGCGGTGTCCAGGGGTCTGTGGGCCACCTGGGAACCCGCCCTCAGGTCAGGGCGCTGGGCCCGGCACCTGCTCTGCTTTTTCCTTGACATCCACACCTCCCCTCTGGCCTTCAGCTGTTCTCTCCTTTCCTGTTTGGGCCAAGATTCCCAGTGTGAAGCCCATCAATCACAGACATTCCTCTACCTGGAACACCGTCTACAGCGCTCACAGCGCCTCAGACAAACCAGCAGCAGAAACCCCTCTGAACCACAGCTTAGAGCTTAGATGGACTGGTGTTTCCCAATCAAAAGCAGAGTCCTGGGTGTAATTAGATTAACGATCAAGACTCTAGGCTGAAGAAGTCCCAGAACAGGTGGTTGGGGCCCTGAGCACGACGACAGAAACTGGGCGTGGGTGTCAGGAGACACCCCGGTCAGCGGAGGCGCGGCCCAGCCTTGACCATGGGCCCACCTGCACTGCGGGCCCAGCCCAGGAGCTGCTCGGCCCTTGTCTCTGGGAAGAAGGGTGGCACCTTCATTTGCAGGAGTCCTGAAATCCGGGAAAGAGACC